AGTTTTTCCACTGTTAAAATTTTGCCTAAATTTGGAGTGTTATTTAGCCAACTTCCTGACTAGCTAGCATGACATGGTACCAATGGATGCGTTATGTCATCTATACCAGTATCTTCACTGGCTTAAAAACAGAGCCTGCTACAGCCTCTGAAAGACGGAGTGGAAGAGGTGAGGATAATGGGGTGGCCCTGTTATCAACTAAAGGCTGACTGCATTCAGGAGGGGTGCTCACACTCACGCTATTTCTTCTTTTCTTCTTAAAAATCCTGTTTGAGTCCAGAATTTGCTGTTGTGGTTAAACCAGTGGCTGTCAAACTGTGGGGCAGACCCAATGGGGGTGCATAGAGCAGCATTTTAAGCACTTTACATTCCTTCCAGTCTTATGCTAAGCTAGGCTAAACATGACACCAGCTCTGTACTTAACACACAGACATAATGATACAGATCGGTATTGATTTTCTCATCATGATTGTATTTCCCACTATTTCTTAAAATATTATCCTCATAGACTCCACTTTATAACGGCTACCTTTGATCCTCACTGAGTGAAATAGTGAATGCTCCTAGAATGTTTGTATGAGTTAGCTGGTGTGAAAGTAGTCAAATTTAAAGACAAAACATGTTTCCTCAACCCACCTTGGTGGCCAGTGAGTGTGAAGCTCCGGCCTCTAGCAGGACAGAGGCTGTCTCCACCTGCCCCTCCCTGGCGGAGATGTGGAGGGGGGTGTAGCCGTTGGTTGTGGCAGCATCTGGATGAGCCATGTGTTGAAGCAGCAGCTGCACAATCTCTGTTTTTCCCAGACGGGACGCAATGTGGAGGGGAGTCTGGTCCTCCTAAAGACGACATGAACATTTAGTCATTGTGCATGGTGGCAGAACACTACAGTAGAAGGTGTTTCCTAGTGTGCTACTATAGAGAACAGCAGTCTCACCCGTGCCCTGGCGTCCACTATTGCTCCGTTCCTCAGCAGACATCTGACCACCTCCACCTGTCCTGCCCTGGCTGCCATGTGCAATGCTGTTTCCCCACGCTGTATGCACAACACACGGCAACATATGGCTCAGCAGAGTCAACACACACACATATTTAACTGAAATATGCACATGTTTAAACCAGCTGACTGATCACTGTAATATGTTCACACACTTTTGTCACTTAAAAATAACTGCACTCTCATGTCCCCTCTCCCTCTCCCTGATCGGCTTGTCACTCACAATATTGCTGACGTCGGGCGACGCTCCGTTCTGCAACAGCAGCAGGACGATGTTCAGGTGACCCATGAAGGCTGCTACGTGGATGGGAGTCAAACCAGACTGGAGGGGAAGTAAAAGCAGAAGAAACGGAGCGAAATGTCAGTCATGTCAAACATCAATTTCTTACTCAAGGAGAGCTCATCAAATTTATTAAAATACAATATAGAATAGATTGTCATGCACATTGTCCAATTTTCTAACGCCTTATAGGTCTCCCCCACCTGAACACTGAATCAGCATGTCAATCTTAAGTTATAGTCATTAATTAAATAGTACTGTTATTAATATTAATTGAAATCATAGCTGTTTTAACCTAAACTCATTAACCTCCTGTATCCACTACTATTCTAAAGCTCCTCTCTGGATGGTTGGTTACGGCAGACATGTGATAGCAGCTCAGTTATGTGACATACCTCTGTGATGGCCTGGATGGAGGCTCCATATTTGACCAGCAGCTCCATCACTTTCACTCGGTTCTTCTTACAGGCTATGTGCAGTGGAGTGAAGCCATTCTGTCGGAGAAACGTGGCACACACACAACAATATTTAACATAAATAAATGTTCACTTTAAAGCATCTAAGCCCTGTAGCTTGACCAAAGAATCCCTTTGAAAAGAGGATTGTAAAAGTCACACAATCTCTCTGCATCGTACCAGCGCCCTGGCGTTGGGGTTGGCCCTCTTGTCTAGAAGCAACTTGGTGACTCTGTAGTGACCGCAGTGGGCTGCCACATGCAATGCTGTCAGGTAGTCCAACGTGACATCATCAACAGGAGCCTTATGCTGCAGGAGGTGTTTGACACATTCGACGTGGTCGCCTTGTGCCGCCATGTGCAGTGGAGACAGCCCATTCTAAAATGTGAAAGAGAGACCATTTAGTTTGATGGAGATAAACGCTAAGGGGGGTTTCAGATGAACAGCTGTGAGGCTGTGTACTGTAGAAACTACCGACTCGTAGATCATTGTTGTGGGTGTACATGAAACCATGATTTCTAAAATGACCTTCTGATTGAAAGAAAAATCCATTTAAGAGTGTAAGTGTGCCTCTTTTTTCATGAAGACCTAGCTCGCAACTAGCTGGTGCAGCACTGAGCAGCTAAAGAGCCAGATGTTTTTCTCAGGAGCTGGTGGGAATGGAAGCAGAGCTAGAAAAAGAATGAGTATTAGACTTACATTCATTAGGTGGACACAAACACAACTTAAAATGAATGCTAATGTTGCTCTGTGTGTCTGCTGAATGTATAAATAGGCAATCGCTTGCTAACTCGTTAGCGAGGCCACTTTATGTCAGATATGTATATCTTTATTAATCTGGTGTGGCTATACATTTTGACAAATAAAAGCAGGTCTCAATTAGAGGCCCAGTCTGCATATTACAGCAATTCTTTGGCTGTATAAAACCTCTTAAAGCACACTGGGCTCTGTATACCCGGCACTACACCACTGAGTTCTTGACCGTACCTTGGTCCTGGCCAGCAAGGGTGCTCCTCTCTCCAGCAGCAGCTCCACAGATGTATCATGTCCACTCCGAGCTGCACAGTGAAGGGGCGTCAGACCATCCTACAGAACCAACAACAGTGATGTCATTCAAGTACTTCTTTAACCAAGTTAGTCTGATCAGTTGAGGTCAGTGGTTTAACCTGAGTCCTGTCCTCCCTACAGGCTGGATGTTGGTGTTGCCAGATTGTGGGTTAGAATACAGCTAATATCACACGAGTGTCATGCTAGCTGGTACTGGCAAAATAACACCACGCAGAGGTCAGGATGACCAGTGTGATACTGAACTTAATCCACTGACCCACTGATGCTAAACCGAAAACAACAGCATTAAGCTCATATTCACATCTGTCTCACTAGTAGAGATCATATTTTCATGTTTTTCATGATACTTACCCTTGTTTTAGCGTCAATCTGAGAGCCACGGTCCAGTAACAGGCCAACCATGTTAGTGTTACCACGCTTGGACGCCACATGTAGAGGAGTAATGCCATTCTACAGGGGGGGAAACATTACTTTTAGTGGAATGTAATTTGTCTTAGTTAGACATTAAAATACCGACTAACTGAATCCACACTCTGAAAATACTGCATACTGTTGCGTATGAGGGGAGAATGTTATAGTATTTTATTGTATATATACTATACTAATGTATAGTAATCTAAAAATATGAATCATATACACAGTAAAACAACAATTAAATGTAAAATCTCATAATCAATTAAAAAACCTGTTGAAATAATATATACCATGAATGTTAAAATGTAATATATTAAGTACTATACACAGTACTGCTGCTCCAACAGTAATACTAAGTATATATAGAATTTAATTTACAGTTTGATCTATAATTTAAAGACAAAAAATAAAATAACAGATGCCAATTACTGTATATCCAATTCATTAATTATTCAACTAACACTTTAAACATATTTCCAAATAAACTCCACATACATTTCAATTTTGTCTTGTTCTTTTCGATTCTATGCTCTCATGTTGTTATTTACTGAAAGTAGGTTTGCATATTTTGTTGAAATCCTGTTACTATACAAACACACCTACAAACTAGTTTATTCATAATTTCTCCTTAAACCAGTAGGTGAGGATGGTTGGGCTCATACAGACAGAAGATGAGTCCATTCTCACAAACATTTGAACCACACAAATCTCTGAAACCTCCTTGTTAGCCACAAAAGCAATCCCATGAGGCTCAGGAGAAATACTTCTTCAGTACATACATGTACATGTAAAAGAGCAAGATGTGTGTTTTTCTTTTTCTTGTTTCTCGCAGCGTGGAAGGTGAGAGAGCTATTTTTATCTATATGGCTAAAAATAAGACCTCTGAATCTGTTTTGTGGATGATTGCAGGGACAAAACACACATCTGAATGGCCAGACATGACAGTTAGCGATGTGTAGCTGAGGATTAGGAAAGACAATGCCTGGCCTTTTCAAAGGCTTGATTAAAAGACGAGGACCCGCTTGTAGGTTTGCCCAGTGCTGCTGGACTATTTTATATATATCAATAGCCCCAGATTTAGCAGACAGGAACAGTGTGCAGAAGTTTCAATTGTGTTTTTCAATGCACTGATTAGACCCAAATAACTCCTCAGTGTGGGGTCCTACCCTTGCCGTGAAGTCGACTGCTGCCCCTCGGTTCAGCAGGAGCGTGGCCACATTGACGTTGCCATAATGGGCAGCGATATGCAGGGGGGTGAATCCACTCTGGAAGACAGACAGGAAAGAGACAGACACACAGAGAACAGCAGAGAGGTCAGACATCAGCTGTTACTTCATGTCCTTGACTCGTGTCTCTTGATCTTTAGTCTCCCCAGCATGCAGCATCAAGCATCACAGGTGAACAAAACTAAACTGAAAGCAAAGAAAACATAAAAGTTACAGTGAAAAAAATAACTCAAAATGTTTTAAAATATTTAAGACAGGATGTGTAGCACCCATACACACAACCCCAAAACACACTCAGACATGTCACTTCCATGCAGTTGATCATCCACAGAAACAAAAGTAAAGGTTTTTCCCTCGGATTCAAACCCCAATAAGAAACGAAAAGCAGAACAGATAGATGTACAGTACACACAGATTGTCATCAAGATTGACATGAAGATGGAGAAACAATATTAGCTACCCAAACAATACCAAATTATAGTAAAATCATAGTGTCACATAAGGAGGACATTTCTGATCAACACCAAAGTGCACTATGTTAACTGTACATCATAGAAGTATTAGAGTTAGCAATGAGAAGTATATGAGAAAAGTTAGAGATTGCAGAGCAGGTTGGAGTAGTTGTGAAATTCTTGCCTTACCTTGCCGTTCTGTAAGTGTGGTCCGATTTAATGTGAAAAAGTTGTTTACAAAAGTGTGAAGAATACAGTGACTAACGTGATGGTTTAAAAACTTCACACAGTCAAAAGCTTAGAATGGTGCAAATTAAGGTAGCGTGGATGCAACATGCTATTCAATGCCAAGTCTCTGGCCAAGCAGGTCATATTGTTAAAGCTTAATAAGCTTCCCATGCCATTATTGATTTGCATTGTTTGTAGTAGTAAAAGAGTGAAAGTTATATACCACTAATTGGAAGATCTTCTATAGAAGAGCATGCATTTGAATTACTTGCTCAGGAAGCTGTTGAATATGGATGACCAGGGCTGCCAATATTGCAATATCATTTGCCAATTTCAATTTTCCCATTGTGTGTACATTAAATAAATGATTGATGATTTAAAATTAAAGTGAAACATTTTATCGGCAAACCATTTTCTATTTACTTCAAAGTAAAACACTGCCATACAGATTAGGAATGAAAATGACTATTCACTTGACTTTTCAAAATGGCAGACAATGTATTGAAAGTTTTTGTTTTGGCAGTATTTATGCATTTTCCAATATTTCATTTTAATTTCAATTTCATTCTATACCATGGGCACACAGATGGAAAATTAAATTCAATTTGAGTAAAACAATTTCATTTTTATTTTGGCAGCAATTGACTTCCACACATGAAGAAGTATATTGTATGCAGTATACTATAATATTTGCAGTTATTTCACCAATACTGTTTTAAACTAGGTAGTTCATAGTGCATCTCTAGAAATCATGCAACATGACATAAACAGACAAGATTACAAGACAGACTAGTGGACAATATACATTCATAGCTGTACTTAAAATGCATCAGCACAGTATTCATCAAATCAAAACCTTGCAGGAGGGAAATGTAATCATTTAAAACAAATAAATAAACCATACATCTCAATAATGATGTTGTTTATAGATATTCATAAGGGTCACATATGACAAAAACAAAAGGGGCTTTCTGAGCCGGTGAGAGAATTAATATAAACTGGAAACAAAGAATGAAAATGCATACAGAAAGAGTATGAATAAACTAAATTGAAAGCCAAAAAATAAAGATAAGCAGACTGTGTGCGGTGCCTGAGCGCAGGACACACGGCAGTAGCTTCGCCATTCGTGTCAGCCGTGCATGTTGACCTATCATTATACCAAACCAACAAAAACAGTGGGGAAATGAACCAAATGATTCTTTATTTTCACCATGCAGTGCTGTGGAAGTGGAAAAAACAAATGGTGGAAGGAAAGAAAAGAGAAATAACCAAAGGGATGGGACTGTATAGTGAATCTGTGGAGAATTAAAGGAGTGTGTGTATACCTCAGTAGTCCTATTGACCATCATCTGAAGCGGGAGGAATGAGGGAGGGAAAGATCAGTTCAGTTAACACATTACTGCACTGTAGCTCAGAGGCAGCTGTGCAGTCAGATACTGAGGTGGCAAGCGACACGGCTGGGGTGGGTCACTTCCTTTAATGTGATGTCTCAATGCAGCTGATGTCCAGTTCGCACAGAGGGGATGTTTATCCAAGACTAGTTTTTCAACAGTTCAATCAATTTTAAGCTAACTAACTAGCTAATTATTTATCAAATACCCATTTTTTTTAAGTAGTTGGGTCATATACACATACCCCCTGTGAATAATTACTCCACTCTACGTACTCAGCAAGTTTATCTAAGTTGAAAGGTAATAATTGTTCACTGCATTTTTTCTTCCAGATAAGTTACCTTATGTCAAACCTGGGGGTTTGTTTACAACCTGTCTGATCACATTTCTGCTTGTGTTTCTTACCCCGTTGGACTTTTAACAATATCACTGCACTCTGTAACAGCTACATTTTTAAATAAGAATCTTGGTTTAGTGAACAGAGATGTAAACAGACCATTTCAGATAGCTGTCACTGGACTGCTTTCCCAAGGTATTTGATTAACTCTGTGTGTGACAGCAATATGTGTTTTATGTGTACTTGTGTTTGAGTGCGAAAGTACATTCTGCCGTTTATAGCCGTTCTCTTCTGGGCCTCTCTTATGACTCATATTGAGCTGAGCTGCATCCCAACAGCTGAATCACATATGGCTTTATACTAAATGCATGCATATACCCTGAGCTTCCGCCGCTGCGTTTTGTTACATAACAACATAATTGGTGCCTTGTTGAAAGATACTGTTGCTACTGTAAAAGCAATGTTTCACATTCAGCAAGACTTATAAACAGTGTAATAAATCATCTTCACTCCAGCCACGTCACTTAAAGCCACTATCAGAGGAAAAGTCAACTAAACACATCAACAGGTAACTGTGAATTCCCACCAATACAGGATTGACACTTTAAATCTTAAATACAACCTCCATCCCCCCATATTGGTTGCATGCAGCCTTAAATATCACCACCATACAACCTGCAGACAGTGGCACACTCCATGCAGTGGACAGTGCTACACTTAGACACCGGTGCAGCGAGGTAGGAGGGGGTGATAGGGGGAAGTAGCGTGTGAGAGGTAGCATTTAAAAAGAGAAAGGAAAAAGAGGGAGAGACCCAGTTAGTGGCAGGACCAGGAGTGACGTGGTGGGAACATAGACACTGAATGAGGGAGAGGAAGAGAGAAAAAGAAAGATGCACAGACAGATGGAAACACCAACACGCTATACACAGGTATACAGCTTCATGGGAAAAATACATCACGACAAATTAGTATATTTTGGGAGACACTATTTACACCTAGTGTGATAGGTATCTGGACATTGTATCTGGATAAGGAAAACTGACACCACAACTGGGTGATACAATGACATCCAATCTGCCAGACCACATCCAGAGCTGACAGAACTGTGATGGTGATCTGCACAGTGTGTTCACAATAGTATTTGTAAGGCATTGTTTAGACGATAACACAACACTGAATTTTCCTTCCTGTGTCGATGTCATTGCCATCCAAATCATCCTGATCTGATGCACCTATCATCAGGACATTCATTTTTGCTGGTTTTCTGCCTTCCAAAATGGCTACAAATGATCTTTAGAAGACAACAGACATTGTATCAGAAGAGACTTCAGAGATACTATCCATAGTATACTGGAGCTTTCATCAAAACATTAAATATAGTTTGTTGCCTCAAGTCTGTACAGAGACAATATCTCTGAAGTCTTTCCTAAACAGGCCTTATTCCTTGTGAGGACCTGATCCTTTGCCACAGACTATTTCAGGGCTTCAGCTTGGGTAGGTTTGAGTATGACTTGCAACATACTTTAAATGGCAAAAAGACAATGTTGATTAATGCTGTACTTATCTACCTCTAACTTGTCAAAACAATGACATGGCAATGACATGATGGTGGCATATGTAATTTCCTCCAATTCCAGTCTACTTCTAAGGCTCTTCTAAGCCTATTTCTGTTCATCTTGAGCCAGATCCAAAGGATTTCCATTTAAATGTCTAGTGCCAAATGGGTAAAAACACTGGGACTGAGGGCAAATGCTATATCACTGTGGGTAGAAAGACTGTCATCTATGGGGACAGAAACATCATACCACAAGTCAAAACCTTTATATTTCAGAAAAATGTGTAGAAGTACCATCATTGTGGAAAGAAAAATCTTCCTGGTAGGAAGATGTCTAATCACCGTGGGCTAGAACAGCTTAGGAAAACCACCACCGTGATTAGAATGATCATGACCATAGGTAGAACTGTTTTCCCATACATTACAGTTGTGTATAAAAATGTCAAGACCTCGGGTAGGTAGGAATTCCATCGCTCTTGGCTGAGAGATCATCACTGTGGGTAGAAACCTCATCACTGAGTCTACTAACGTCATCACCATAGGCAGTAATGTCATTACTACAACTACAGCCCACACATAAGAAGCCCACACAATAGGACTGTAACATCACCTTGATCCATGTAATTGTTTGTTGCCAGCTTTCCACCTACTCGCCTACTTTGCATAATGAGCAAGAAAAATTAGACCCTGTGATTATGAAGACAGGATGTAATGAGAACAGCATGATCAGATTGTTGATTATCAGGATAACTTATCCAGATACAGATCACATTTTAATAGCAGATGTAAACAAGTTCTTCCTACCCAAAGACTCTCACAGGACCCATGGGTGAATCCCAGTGTTAGTAAGATAAGTAAGATAAAATAAAAGATAAGGCTAGACTGCCTTTCAATGATTTACATTCTGCATTCTGTACCTCAAATACCACTAGATCCTATTCAAGCCAAATCCACTGCAGCCTCTTATAATTCATAGATTTCACAACAACAGTATGGACACATTGACACAAACGCGTGGCATCACATTAGCTTGACTTCCACACATGCCAACCATTCGGAGTCAAACACTGCTATGGCCGTACCTTCGACTGGACGTCAGCGTTGTGGTCGTTCTGGAGGAGCAGGGCGGCCGACTTGGTGTCATCCTTGCGGGCAGCAATGTGCAAGGCAGGCAGGCGGACCTTGCCTTTTGTATCATTCTCCAGTAAGATAGAGACCACCTGGTTGTGGCCCTGTTGGAGGGCGATGGCCAGAGGGGTGAAGCCATCCTGGATTAGGGAAGACGGGAAAAGAAGGTAGAGGAGAACAAAGGTTCAAAGGATTAGATACATCTAATTTTCAAGAAAACCTTTTTAATTTGTGAAATGTCTAGAAAAGTGTTGCTGTCAATTTTATATGATTATATTACCATAGGTAATATTTTATATAACCTATACACTAATACAGTACAGCTTCCTGCATATGTTTCAAATTAAAAGCCTACTAAGACAGGGAAGGTCTATGCTGTTTGAGCCATGGTATGTTTTAAATATAAAACTTCAACATGGGATATTTCACTGACGGTTGGTTAACAGTAATTGAAAAACACTTTTCTAGTCATGCTTGCAGTGGGGCTCTTGGTCAACTATGGAAGCCGAGAACAGCCGAGAACTCACAAAAAGTGACAGATTCATTTGCTCACACCTTATTTTAGCCCTTAAGATTACGGTCATGACTGGCTGCTGGCTCACTTTGGACAGTATCAAAATAAATATTAACTGGCACAATGCAATGCTATCCTCCATACATTGTCCATTATGCTGAACAAACACAACATGTATAATAGCTATAGCACTCCTTATCTCCATATCTATGATAAACATTAGAAGTATTAAGAGTAAACCACGTTTTTTCCCCTTGTGATACCAGGTTGATGATCTCTTTGTTTCTGCATTACAAAAAAGCACGGCCACTCTCGGTTTCTGTAGTCAACCACTTTGGTCCAGACTAAAATGTCTTAACAAATACTCGATATATTGCCATGACATTCTGCACGGACATGTTCCCCGCAGATGAATCCTATTAAGTTTGGTGATACCCTGACTTTTCATTAGAGCCATCATTAGGTCAAACTTTTCAATAATCCAGTGAAATTTCTCAACCTATAACAGGGGGAATAAAACCAATAACTTTAGCCATACTAGCAGCCCGGCTCTAGGGATGGTAATGTTCATAAGTCATTAGACCCACCAAATTGTGTGTCTCGACAAATACTGGATGGATTGCCATAATATTTTGTTCAGACATCATTATTCTCAGACAATGTTTCCCCATGACTTTGGTGGTCCTATGACATTTCCTTTAGTGCAACTAGCATGTTGACATTTTTTAGGCAGGGTGGAATGTCTGGATCTCCTGACTGGATTGTCATGGACTTTGGTACAGACCTTCATGTTCCCCTAAAGGTGAATTGTGATCACTTTGAAGTCTGAATTAGCACCATCATCAGATTTTGTCAAATACTTTGATTTATGACCAAATACCTGGCATAATAATGGCATTTCCATCAGCCTCATATATTATATGTTTATTATAGAATTACTTGCCAGTATACTGTATGTGTGATACCAGTCTCACCTCTGTAGCTGTGCTCTGGTTGCCTCCATTCTCCAGCAGGTATCGCACTACATCCAGGTGATTCTCCTGGGCGGCCATGTACAGCGGAGTGAATCCATTCTACAGCACAAATACAAGAGGTGACCATTAAATTACAGGTCCTGAAAAAAACTTCTGCTGTATTTACTCATCCAAATGCCACCCAGAATCCAGTCACAGCTCTCTAACATGATATTAGTGATGAGTAATACAAAAGGTGCAGTTGTCAATGACTTTTAAGAGGATGCATGATTAAACTCAAGCGGCAGAGTGCAGAGGCTCACCTGAGACTGTGCATTGATGTCAGCTCCTCGTTTGACCAGGATCTTCACTACTTCAGCCTGACCAGCTAGAGAGGATATGTGCAGTGCTGTGTTTCCTTTCTGGGTTAAGAGAAAACATAAAAGGACAATCAGAAGAAGCATTCAAAATAATGATGACCAATAGAAGGTGCCACACTTCATGTCGGTATTGTTCTTTATGGCCTCACTTTAAAATTCACCATGTTTTGCTAAACGGCTCCACTGTGAAGTGATGCTCAGTAATAATGAACAGCTCTGATGAGTATTGATGGGTCCCAGTTTATTTTAGCAAAGCCTAATGAATCTATTGCCGACACACAGCTGTGGTTGAAAGTAGAATCTCTGTCAGATGATTAAATTCCACATAATTTTGATGCCTCTCCAATCATCCTTTATAGCATATGCAGCTAACAGGCCAAAAATATATTCTGAAACTGTATTTATTATGTTTACTTGCTTGTCCCCTATACTTCTGGGTGCAGTATAGTATTGAGAGCTCTGACACTAAGCGTACTCATGAATACACTCAGTTATGTATTACATATCAAGTGATAATGATAGCTTATTTCAATTGGCAACTGCCACATTAAAACAATTTGTATTCCAATTTCTAAAATGGTCCTCTTAAATGTTCCCTTAATGGTACCCTGTGGAGTTTTTACTGCTAGTAATTCTAACTCTTAGAGTCGCTCCCCATTATGTTTTCTCATGCACAAGGATGCACATGCAAGCTAGGGCTGCACAACTAATCAAAATATTAGCGAAATCAAAATGGCAAATTGCAGAAGCTGCAGTGTTTTGATAAAAGTAAAAGTGCTGCAGAGATACCCTGGCCTACAAATCTTAAAAGATAAGTAAGAAATTAATTTGGTACATCAACATCAATAAAGAGGTATGGTATATCATACTGGCATATGATATTAACATATTAAAATCACAGTCACATGAAATAGCAAAACATCAGTGACACATATGTATGCATATGACACGTTTAGCAACTGTTGTGTAATATAAAGTTGCATTTTGGAGCTACACCAACAAGAGTGACAACCTACTCCGTAATGAGTCGGGACCTTCTCTGATTGCAGGAGTCGGAATGATTAGCATTGCGTGAGCATCAGACCTCCATGTTCACTACTGCCACTACGCATATCACTTTCCTTTAGTGCTCCACTTTCTCCTTAGCTCCATTTCTACACTCTGAATCATCTGTAGAAGCTTGTTTTTCTCAATGATGTCCTAAACGGGGCGGCTGTGGCTCAGAGGCAGAGCGGGTCGTCCCCCAATCAGAAGGTTGTTGGTTCGATCCCCGGCTCCTCCTGCCACGTGTCGAAGTATTCCAATTCGATCTTGGCTTGCACATACAAAACTGGAATAAGTGATGAAAAAATATAAGAGAAATACAGAACAATAACAGTCGTCGCAAGCTTCTACAGATGACTTCAGTGTGTAAGAAATGAGCTAAGGAGAAAGTGGATTCAACTAAAGGAAAGTGATATGCGTTAGTGGCAGTATGTGAACCATGGGGAGGTCTGATGCTCACGCAATGCTATCTTCCTGACTCCTGCAATCAAGAACGGTCCGACTCTATATACGGGGTAGGTTTGTCACTCTTGTTTGGTGTAGCTCCAAAATGCAACTTATAATATTACAACAACAGGTTGCTAAACGTGTCATATGCATTACAATTGTCATCTGATGTATATTAGCTATTTCATGGTGACTGAGAATTTTCAATTATTGTATATCATATGCCAGTATGATATTGCCGGACCTCTTTATTGTATGTTTGATGTACTGCCAATTAATTTCTTTTACTTATACTTTTTTAGATTTGTGTAGGCCAGTGTGTATCTACTGCACAACTATTTAACTTTTATCAAAACACTGCAGTTCTGCAAATTTGTTCCATTTTGATTCGCTAATAATTTTGATTTAGTTGTGCAGCCCTAGCTTGCATGTGCATTCCTTGTGCATGAGAAACATAATGGGGAGCGACTCTAAGAGTTAGAATTACTAGCAGTATAATACTCCCACAGCCCGGTACCATTAAGGGAACTTTTAAGGAGGAGCCATATTTAGAAATCGTGGGTATTAACAAATGTGTTTTAAAGTGTGGGCAGTTGCCAATTGAAATAATGCTACATTATACACTTGATATGTTAATTACATAACATAGCAGTGGTATTCATTTGAGTACGCTTAGTGTCATGGCTCTCAAATAACATTATACTGCACCCAGAAGTTATAGGGGACAAGCAACGTAAACATAATATAATACAGTTT